TGTGTGTGTGTGTGTGTGTGTGTGTGTGTGTGTGTGTCCTGTGGCCGCCATAGTGGACTGGAACCGAGGGCTGCCCTCTGGCCTCTCACCACAAGATGGGGTTGTCCGTGGGGCGGACTCTGCACAGTCTCAGTGCTAGCCCAGAGGCTGAGAGTCCAAGTCCAGGCCGAGGATCTCAGAAGGAAGCCCGGGGCTCCACTTCTGGAAAACCAGCCAAAGGACCCTCCATGGAGCCCAGTTCTCCCCCAAGTCCCCGGTGGATGGACGGCAAGTGGCCGTGGCCGTCAGAAGAGCCCTCTAGAGGAGGCGGCTGCATTTCCCCTGCAAGGCGGAGCTCAGGAGGAAGCCCAGAGCACACGCCCTGTGGGGGGCCTGGTGGGGACCGCAGAGCAGTGGCACCAGCATGGCGGGGTGCAAAGTCTTCCAGATGCCCCATGGCAGGGCCTGGCTGGGGCTGTGCTAATTCCCAGGGTTGGGCTCTCCTGGGCGGGAACCGTGGGCAGCTGGCTCTCTGATTCCGCGTTCGTGCCAGTGGACGGAGTCTCATTGTCCATCTCCTCAGGGTCCTCCTGCAGTGCCCTGCGGAGCATGGCCCTCAGTGTCTCCCGCTTCCTCTGAGACCTCCATCTGCCCACGAGGATGTAGACGACGGGGTTGGCACTGCTGCTCAGGGACATCAGGAGGCGTATTATGCTGACAAACAGCGCCTTCACCTGATTGTCCAGCTCTGTGTGATTGATCATGAACCATAAGGTGGTGTAGGGCACCGAGAAGACCAGGAACACCAGGACCGAGACCAGGATGACCACAAGCACCCTTGGGGGCCTCCGACTCCACTGCCTGGAACTTATCTGGATGCGGACAAAGAGGACCAGGCTGGACAGCATCATCAGGGGCGTGAAGACCCCCAGGACAAGGGTCCTTATGGCTCCCTTCAGGGTGGAGCACGGCGGTTGGTTAGAATGCCTTAGCTGTTTGCAGGATAAAGACGCCAGGGCGCCTCCCAGGGTGGACAGCCCCCAGAGCAGGGCGCACACCGTGCTGGACATGTGTTGGGGCCTGTGAAGCCTGAACCAGATGGGAAAGAGGACCGAGAGGCAGCGCTGGCTGCTGATGACCGTCATCAGGCACATACACACCATGTACACAGAAAACTTCACCTTCCTCACGATCTCAATGGCTTCCACGTCTTTGTCCTGGAAGATGGCCTCTAGAATGATGGTGGCGCTCTGGGTGACCAGGAAGAGGAGGTCAGCCCCGGCCAGGTTGAGGACGTAGACGCAGAAGGGGTTCCTGTGCGTGCGGAAGACCAGCAGCCAGATGACCCAGCCGTTGTCTGCCATCCCACACATGCAGGTGAGCAAGGCCACGGCGTTGATCGCAGCGTAGTCTGAGGCCCACACATCTGTCCTGCTGCCCTTGGGGGTCAGCACGGAGGTGTTGCTGGAGTTCATCCCTGTGAAGGAAGGTGGACTGACGTGAACATCTACGTTGCAAGGACCATGCTGGTTCCGTAGTGCCCACCAGCGTTAGGGACTTTGTGGCACTCTATTCAGTTTCTTTCAGCCCCGGCTCACCATCCAAAGGGTCCACACCATGAGAGGGGTGATACCAGGAGGGTAGGGGGAAGGTGGGGGAGAAAGGGGGAACCAATCACAAGGATCTACGTATAACCTCCTCCCACGGGGACGGACAACAGGAAAGTGGGTGAAGGGAGTCATCGGTCGGTGTAAAAATAATACTTTATAAATGATCACGGGTTCCTGAGGAAGGGAGGGGGCGAGGGGGGAAATGAGGCGCTGATGCCAAGGGCTCAAGTAGAAAGAACATGTTTTGAGAACGACGATGGCAACGAGTGTGCACATGTGCTTGACACGGTGGATGCATGTATGGGCTGTGATAAGAGTTGTACGAGCCCCCAATAAAATGATTAAAAAAAGAAAAAAATTATAATTTATCCAGGGGTCACAAGGGTGGCAGGGGAAGGAGGGGAAAAAGAGGAGCTGATACTAAGGGCTCAACAGAAAGTAAATGTTTAGATAATAATGATGGCAACATATGTACAAATATGCTTGATACAATTGATGTATGGATTGTTATGAGTTGTAAGCGCCTCCAATAAATGATTTTTTAATTAAAAAAATATAAAAATGATGATGGCAACATAGGTACAAGTGTGCTTGACACACTAAATTGTATGCTATGTGAATTATATGCCAACCACCCCCCACACCCACACCCCCAAACTGTTTAAAAATGGTGTGGGGGAGACATCTGACCTCCATTAGAGTTCTAAGGGGGTGGAGGGAGGAGAATCATTGCATCAATTGCCCAAAGCCGATTCCTACGTGGCGGTCAGCTATGCCTGTCTCAGATTCAGGAAGGAGAGATTCATGACCGCAGGAAAAGAAGTGTCGGGGTGGAGCGTAGCCCCTGGGCTCCAACATCCCTGCCCGTTGAACCTCCCCATCACCTTCGAGGCCATGGGGATGGGCAGAGGCACCGCAGAAGAACAAAGAGCCAAATCCTATGAACAGAGCGGTGGGCGTCTCAGCCCACCAGCAGGCGAAGCTGAGTCACTTTGGGCGTCAGCCGGCTTGGGCAGAGGGCTGCCTCTGGGCACGGGACGGGGGACCTGGGTTGGCTGGCCCCGAGAGCTGGGGCTCAGTGTCTTTGGGCGGAGGGTTACGACAGAGCGGCAAGGCCCTTGGGTGACTGGAAGCCCCCAACGCTTTGTGCCATTGCCTGATGGGGGCAGAGGCCAGGTCCAGCCCACCGGGTGTCCTGGGAATTTGACACCTGCATCGTCACCTGTTGGCTTCCCTCATGAGCCCCGTAATGGCGAGTACCGCCTGTGAGGCCATCCCAATGAATGATTGAATTCAACTGAAAAGTAGAGCACTGAGGGGGACAGAGGGTCAGTTAGATGCTTGTCACTGTCCCACACATTACCGGGCCTCCACGTATCCAGCACCTCTCACAAGTGTGCGTTACCTTGGCTAGTTCTGTCTGTCTTCAGTTCACGGTCCTTTCTTGCGGTTTCTAATCCGCCCTTAATACAATGCGGTATTTCTACATCTGTTCTGCATGCTCTCTGTTCAGCTCTAGAGGTTTTAATTGGTTCTTATTTATATCCTTCATTTTTCTCCATGCGGTATGTATGCTTGCCTTTAAATCCCTGTGCATTTCAATCATAATTATCCCGAGCGCGTCATCTGTAAATCCACCGCGATGCGCGTTTCAGAGTCTCTCTTTATCAATTTTACAATGGATCTATTTTGTTGCCGTTTCTTGACATTTCACACCTTCTTCAGGTCTGGTCTCATTTGAGTAGATCCTGGACATTGTGGACTTTGTATTGTAGACTGGCTGGATTCGGTTGTCTTCCTTTAAAGCAGTGGTTCTCAACCTTCCTAAGGCTGCGACCCTTCCATACAGGTCCTCAACCATAACATTATTCTCGTTGCTACTTCATCACTGCCATTTTGCTACTGTGATGAATCGGGTGACCCCTGTGAAAGGGCCGCTCGATCCGCAAAGGGGTCGCGACCCACAGTTGAGAACCCCGCTGCTTTAAAGCAAGGGTGGAGAACCTTTTAATTTTTTTCCTGTAAAGGGCCATTTGGAGATTTATAACATCATTCACGAGCCATACAACGTTATCGACCTAGCATTGACGATGGTGTAATCCCACCCGATGGGATTAAACAACAAAACCGTGTGGGAAGGGAAGGGATATATTGGAATGAGCAAGAGAGGTCAACAAAAATATTAGATATTTTTTAAAAAGTCATCAACGTGAAGATTAGCCAACTCTCCCTGGCCAGACAGTTAACGAATTGGAGGAGGGACACCCACCGTGCTCCTTAGAAGTCGTGTCTTGGACACGTTCTCAGGAGAGGCAGGTCCCTGGAGGAGGACATCACGGTGTGGTCGAGTGGAGGGTCAGCCACAAAGAGGAAGCTGACCAAGGGGATGGGCTGACGTGGTGGTGACAGGGGCTCAAACGTCACCACAGCACTGAGGGTGGCACACGGGTCACTGAGTCTCAGCGGATTCAGCAGTACTTTGGCACACCGCCGCCCGCCACCACTGCGACAGTACTCAACGTTTCTCTTTTGTTTGGCTGTTCGTTTTACAGCAGACGGAACAAAGGCCGATCCTACAGAGAAAGACTCTCTCTCCGCCCTCACCAGGATGCTGTTCTCCCGGGGACAGAGCGGGTGGACCCACAAGAGCGGAGGGTTTCAATGGTAACAACTAGCAGAGAGATGGTGACAACGGCGAGCTAGAACCTTCTAGAAATGACTCCTATCGATGGCAGGGCAGAACACAGAGGGTGGTTTCTGAGGCCCCCTGGGGGGGGACCCTCACCGAGGACCCTCAGGATGCTCTGACGATCAGCCGTGGAGCTGAAGGAGCCCGGGGACATGTCCATGGGCTTTGTTGAGAAGTGAGGATGGAGGTAATGGCGTTCAAAGAACTGTCACTCGCTCATGCTTGTGTACGTGGGAGAGGTCCAGGGGAGAAGGAATCTCTGCACGAGGGGTGGCCTTGGGGTGCAAGGCGGGGGGAGGCCCCAGGGCCCAGCAGGGTGGGGCTCAGGAAGTAGCTGGGAGACACCTTGGGGGTGGGGATGGGGTGGTTTTCACAGGCTGTGGGGGAGGAAGGTGGGGTCGTGAGTCTGGGGGAGGATGGAGGATGGGGGTGCAGAATACTGCCCCCTTCAAGCTCCTGCTGTCTCGGTGACAACAGAATGGATGCCAAGTGTTGGGACCAGGCTGTGGCCCCCAGAGACCTGGTGCTGCCCTCACGGTAGCACGTCTGTTCTTGAACCTGCCACCCCCATGGGGCGTCCACGTCAGCGGGCACAGTCCTGGCATTGGGTCTGCTGTCCGCCCCCACCCCAGGCCCCAAGAAGGAAGTTGGCCTGGGGGACCGCTGGGAAGGAAGGGCTGTGACTGTCACTCCTGCAGGGAACAGGCCACCTGTCCCATGGGTGCTGTTCCTGGTGAGTCCCCAAGGACAGAGACCCCAGAAGGAGGGGTATCATCCCCACCCATGCTTCCTGCCTCCTCAAGTTTGGCTCCCTGCGGCCCTGCTGGTCTCCGCTGGTCCCAGCCCCACTGCTGCCACGCACGGATGGAGGCTCCTGTGTGCCAGGATCTGGGAGGTGCCCTGGGTGAAAGAAGGTAAGTTTGACCATCCTGGTTTTGTGAAGGTCAAGGCAAGGGATCATATGGCGGGGATACTGCCCGGGGGACCCAAGTTGCATCTGACAGAGCAGAGATGCCCACCTGGGTCAGCTGAACATGCTGTGACCCACCTGCTCTCCTGAGAGAGGGATGGGGGGAACTCACCAGATCCTAGGCTCCCGGATGCAGGGAAGCCTTGATCTCAGTTGACGCCGCAGGCCCTGGGCCCCGTATGCCTCCCTGGTCAGGGTCGCCCTGAGCTAGTTTATGGTTTCTGAGGCCCCAGAGAGCCCTGGGTGGGTCCCTCTGTGAAGCGGAAGGGGGTGATTATGCTCCCCTGGCCGGGAGGGCGTATAAGTACTCAAGCCTTTCTGCCCCACGTGGGTGCCAGAACCCTTCCTGGCTGGCTGGGGGGCTAATAGACTGACCACATGTACTCCCCAGAGGCCGTAGACTGCAGGCAAATGCAGAAAGAGAATGGCCCGGTGTTGCCTGTCCACTGGTTGTTTCCCTCCTGGGACAGCCTGGGCGCCGGAGCATTAGGGCCCCTGCGCTGGGGTGGGGTGGAAGGCAGGCTCCGGAGGAGGAAGAGGCGCTTTGGCCTAGGAAGACCATTATGAGGACACCTGGCTGAGTGCTTTGCTGATGGGCTTGCTGGAGGCAGATGCAGCTCTCTGGAGGGTGGGGGTGGATGGAGCACTGGGTGGGGGAGTCGGCAGGCTTATTTTGAGACCAGGCCCGTTTTTCATTCGCTGGGTAACTGACCTCTCTGGGCCTCAAAGCCAGTGGCCGTCCAGCGTGTCCCGACTCACCTGGCCCCGTGTACGTCAGCGGGTTTCTTGCGGCTGAGTGCTCAGACACGCATCTCCGGGCTTTCCTTCTGCAGCACTGCTTGGGGGGCTCGGACCTCCGGGCCATCAGGAATCAAGTGTGTTCACCGAGGGCACCTCCCGGGCCCCCCTGAGCCTCAGGGGCCTTACGCTTCCTGATGGAGTCCCGATGGATAGACAGGGTATCCATACCCAGGCCCTTGGGTCCAGCCATTGCTGGGGCCCACCCACCCATGAGCCACTCCATTCCCCTTGCCCAGGGATGCGTGTGTGTGTGTGTGATGTTGCGATGTTGAGGGCGGGATGGGTCAGCTCCCATTGCGTTCTTGTCACTTGCCAATGACAGCTGTGGCCGGAGGAGGAAGGTGGTAGAACCCTGACAAGCAGAGTCAGGACACCGAATGTCGTCCTCCGGTGCGGTGGACTGGG